CCCCCACAGACCCGCAGCCCCTTCCTTCCACGCCTGAACACTGACTGCCTCCAGTCCGTAAAGTCACCGAGTCTCGCTGTTCTCCAACCCTCCATGAACTCCCCCACCGCAATTCAAGTCCAAGATCCTAGAGAAGAAACAGCTCTCTAGACTGACAGACAGGCTGCTGTGCTGAGCACCTGTGTCCCAGACACTTAGGAAGCTGAAGCAGGAGGATCCCTTGAGCCTGGAGTTGGAGACCAGCCTGGGCAACATAGCAACGTCCAGTCTCAAAGAAAAGAAAATGAATGGACAGTACTAAGCAGCGAGGAGAAGAAGAACTCAGATCCCAGAGCACGTGGAGCTGGGCCGCCTGGGTCCAGCTAAGCCCATGGGTCTCCCTTTCTCCACCTCCAAGTCGTGGAGTTTCAAAAATTGAGATAAAATGAGCCGATACACGGAAACCACCCTCCCGCATTCACATCCCACCTGCACACCCACACATGCACGGAGGCCCACTCCCCTCCCAGGCAAAGCCGGGGCCCAGGCTGGACCCCTGCTGTTTCCCAGGTGTAGCGAGCCCTGTGCCTTCGTCCTCAGTGGTTAAAAATAGCACAGGCAGCTTAGCTGAGCTCGGTTAATAAAATACCCAAGTTAATTTTAGCAATAGGGGAACCTAAGATCTGGGATGCTGAGGCCCCTTACACTGTTAAGCCACAGCCCTCCCCACGTCACAAAGAGCTTCTCTCACCCGAGTGAGCCTCAGCCCTGCGGAGACGTTGTCATGGCCGTGAGCCTCAGCCCTGCGGAGAAACTGTCAGTACTTTCCCTTACTAAGCAGGCCGGCACCTAATTCGATGCCTGCAATAGCCCTGTGACCAGCAGCCTCCAGCTCCTGTGGGGGAGTCATCAGGCTGGGTGTCAGCTGCCACTTCCTGCTGGCCTGGAGCCCTGACCTCTGATTTTCTAGCCCACGAGCTGGGGCTGGGGAGCCACAGCATAGGGGGCTCCCCAGGCACCCCACTTGTGGTTCTCCCTGTTCTCACCCACTGCCACCTCCTCCTGCTTTGGTGGAATTCTGTTTGTGATCAGGAGAGGAATGGCTGGGCTGAAGGGCAGCACCCCCACCCCAGCCCACGTGCCCCGCAGGCCTGCAGCACCAGCGGTTCTGACGCTTCCGTGTTGGGCCACATGGCCGTGAGCCTTCTTCGTGGGCACGCTCCAGCCTCACAGGAAGGGACTGAGAGCCCCGTGGGGCCAGGGGTGCTGAGTCCGAAGGAGAAAGAAAGGAGCCCCACGGAGGAGCACGCAGCGGGCCAGGCCCCCAACGGGCAGCATTCCAGGGACGTGGCTCCCTCCAGCTCCATGGCATGGTCGCAGCGGTGCAAGGGCCTTTCCCGTCCTGGGTCGCAGGGTGGCTTTTTTCTAATAGATTGAGAGAAACTCCTTGTGTGTTGCTCTTTATTGAGCACATGCATCACGATGAGGTGCCACGTTTAAAAACAAGCAGTAAGTGCTGTGGAAACGGAAAACATCGCTGGGAGGGGAGGAAGCGCTGCGCGCCTCGGGGGCGGGGCCCCAAACAACCCGGGGTCGTGGCGGAAGTGCCCTCCCTGTGGGTCCCTGACTCATGGAAATCAGAAGCACTGGCTTCCTCAAAGCCGACTGCATAGGAAGTGCGGCTCAGTCATGCATGTCGCACAGACTGCTGTCACAGGTGATGACTGCTCCCAGACACAGTGTTCAAGACGGGCGGGCACACGGGAGGACAGATCACAACAATGCTACACAACTGAAGCGCAGAAAGATTCTTCCAGAGACTCCAAACTCTTCCCATAAAAACACCTCGCTTCTACGTGCTGCTCCCTCTTTTTACCTCACTTGCAAAAGGTGGAGGGACAAAGAAAGAGGAAGAGGAGAGAAGGATTTTCCCAATTTCGGCGTCTGAATGAGACCACAGACCACCACACGCTTCAAAGCTGTTAGGGAATTTAAAAGGCCAATGTCCCTATACCTTAAAAAAGCTCCCAATCCCCGCAAAGATGTTCTGCCTTCTCTTCTTGGTACAGTACTACTAGAATTGCTTATGGTATAACTTGAGGGCAGGATGCTAACTGAAGCCCGGATGGCATTGCCTTGTAAGTGCTCACCGGATACAGCAGACAATAATTGCCTGCCTTTTGCAAATGGAAAATGAGGTTATGAAGGGGAAGACACTGGCCCTGGGTCACACAGAGTCACTGGCGAAAATTCAGCATGCCTGGGGACGAGGCTTGGAGGTGAATGACCATGAGGGGCCCTCAGATCAACCACAGGGGCACTGACTTGTCTGCATCTTCAACACCAGGGACTCAGGCAGGGCAAGCCAGAGCCAAGGTTGGCCATGAATTCAGATTAAACAAAGAAACTGAGGAGCTGAGTGGCCCCCAGCACTGTACCACTCAGGGTCACCCTGATCCCCAGGGTGTCAGGCCGGCAGCACAGTTACAAGAGACTAACCCAAACCAGTGCACCCACAAGTCACCCTTAGGGTATCTAGCCAGACTGCATCTCAGGAGGTGTCCTGCCTCCCAGCATGCCCCTAGCTACTTGGGGCACAGACACCCCCCCTCAACAGGCAGCCGGCCCTGCAGGTGGCCTCTGGATGGGAGAGGAAATGTGGCTTCTCCTCACTGGAAAGACATCCAAGGAGTCGGGCGGCTGGCACTCCGGCCTCTCTACCCATTCTCACTGCTGCTGCCCCCGGGGGGGGGGGTCAAAGGTTCAAATAATATCCAGGCCCCACGTGGTATTAGCAGCCTAAGCCTCAGCTGAGCCAGGGTTTCACAGGCTTGTTTAAGTGGAGCTCAGAGCCTCCAGAACTCCTCCTCCCGGAGGGATCCACTGGGTGCCTGATGTTGCCTGCCCGCAGGCTGATGAAGCTGCCTTCTGGAACACTACTCAGGGTCTGAGCATCTGGTATGAGACTCTGGTCTTCCCTCATCCTCCTGTTTGACTTCCCATGCCTTCTGTAAAGTCCTGGCGTGGACTGAAGCACCAGAACCCTTCCTGGAGTAAACAGTGGCCAGGGTCCCCCAGCCCTGAGCCACAAAGCCCAGGCCACTTCTGCCTGCTGCCGTGGCACTGCCCCACAGGGGGCACCCACCTCCAGCCCTCCTGCCCCCCGGGGGTGAGGAAGCCCGGGGCTTCTCACACCTCTCTGGACTGGCTCGCTGAGCCAAGCAGCCTTGGCTGGAGGAAAGGGCAGCAAACTGATCCCCACAGGCCGAGACCTTTCCCCGCCCACAGCACGGGGACCTCAGATACCAGGGAGCGCCAGCCCTGGCTTTCTTGTATGAAAGTGACAGCGGATTTAAACCACATTGGCAAAAGAAATCCCTCCCCTCTGGCCTGCTCAAGGCGGAAGAGCTGCCGCATTCTAGCTGCAGCCTTCTGTGCCAAATATCAACACAGTGTCTCAGCGATGTTCCGCAAACCAAAATAAAGCCGCCCGGAAATGGCCCGCTGATGCAGGGGAGCCAGAATTTCTCCGGCAGCATCAGATGTCATCAACAACTGACACTCAGCCTGTCCCCAGGCCTGTTCACACGGGAAGAGGCCGGCTGCCGAGTGCGGCTCGGTGGGGGAAGGACCATGAGGACCCGGCACCGGGCCCTGGAAGCCTCTCCGGCCTGAACCACCCCGCGGTCCAGCACATTCATGGCGTGAAAATGGAGCCGTCACTGCAGGAAACGTCTTGCTCTGGGGGCGGGGGAGGACTTCCACATCAGTCTCCCGAGATAAAACCACCAGGGAAAAGCAGATCCCTCCAGATAAAACAGAAGTCCAGGCACAGCCTCCTCTCCGGAAACGCCTCCCAGAGCCCACTTCAGAAGCTGCTGAATCCCAGAGAAAAACCGCAGCCTCGGAGGCCCTGGCGGCCACCAACTCGCCCGACAGTTCTCAGTGGAAGGGGACTCGGTGCGGGTGGGTCCGGTGTCTCCCAGCCCCGCGGGACCCCTCAGCCAGGACGCCCCACCAGCACACAGGTGCGCACACATGCAGACAAGCACACCCACAAACACATGCACACACACAAACACATGCACACACACATGCACGCACACACGTGCACACACACGCACCCACAAACACACGCGCGCACAGACACAGTCGCGCGCGCACAGCAGCAGCAGCAGCGCACCCGAGCCTCCCGCCCCTGGGGAGGGGCGTGAAGGAGCCTCCACATTCCCCAAAGGAAGTTTCTGGGCGCAGCGGGAAAGGCAGATGCAAAGCCCAGACGCCAGCGGAGCTGACACCTGAAGTGCCGGCGCCCGACAGTCCCAGGCGCGCGCACTCCCGCAAACACGCGGGTCACACGCGGACGGACGCCCCCTCCGCAGGGACCCCACCTCCTCCGCCGCTGCCAGGGAGGGACGCGAGCCGCTCCGAGCGCAGAGGAGGCGCAGGGAGCCGCGTCCCCCGGGGCCGCTCGACCCAGCCCGAGCCCGGGGGAAGCGGGGAGCCCGGGAGGGGCCGCGGCGCGGGACCAGCGGTTCTGCGGGGAGCGCGCCGCGCCTGGAGGGCGTCTCCGCCGGGGTCCCCGGGAAGGATCTGGGGAGGGGAGGCGGGGGCGGGAGGGGACGGGGGCGGGGGACGGCGCTGCCGGCTGACACTCACCGATCTTGATCTTCACGCTCTGGAAGACCCGGAGCCCCTCGTCCTCCACCGCCATGCTGCGCGCCGCGCCCGCCGAGCCTCGCCCCGAAGCGCGCGCCGAGCCGGGCAGCGCGGGCCGAGCAGCAGGAGACGCGGCGAACCCGTAGCGCGGCCGAGGGTCTGCCCGCCCGCACGACCGCCCGTTGGCCGAGGGCGAGGGCGGGGACCAGGAGGCTCCGCCCGCGGCCCGGCCCCAACTCCCCACTAGTCCGGGCCCTGCCGGGCGGGGTTGGCGGGGGAGGCGCGGGCGGGCGGCTGAGTGGACCGGAGGGCGCAGGGATCGGCTTCCCAGAGGCCTAGGCTCCGCGGATTGGCCGCTGAGCGGAGGGGACCCCCGCGGGCTCCTGGCGGAAGAGACGAAGGGAGGTCCCCGGCCCTGCGCGGGCCCGCTGACCGAGGCTGGGCGATTCACTCGCAGAAGAACTTTGCAAAGAAAAGTTCACGCACAACGACCTGGCAGGAGAGGAGTCCCCCGCCCAGCCCCAACTCCCGAGACGCGACCCGAAGGCACCTGCTGCAGGCCCACGGTGGGGGGGCGGGGAAACACACACAGCCCACCCCTGCAGAAGCCGGCATGGGCAGGTGCCCCCCCAATCCCCCTGCAGACCCGAGTATGGACTGCGGCTCGGTGGGGAAAGACTCCCAATCCCCCTGCGGACCCCAGCATGGGCAGGTCTCCCCCAGCCCCCCTTCGGACCCCAGATGGGCAGGTCCCCCCCAGCCCCCCTGCAGACCCCAGCATGGGCAGGTTCCCCCCAGCCCCCCTGCGGACCCCAGCATGGGCACATGCTGCCCTCCCCTCCTTTTCTTCTGTCTAGATGTCTCCCCCCCCACCTCTCTGAGGAATGTGTTTGTATATGTGTGTTCACGTAGGTGTGTGTACGGACTGAGACTCTGCACTCCCTCCTCTACCTTACAAAACTTCATTGCACCCAGTGCCACACATATGCCCTACACATATACACACACATACACACACACACACATACATACACTACTCATACACACACATACACACTACACATACATTCATATACACACATACACACTACACATACATTCATATACACACATACATATGCCACACCCACACATACATCCACCACATATACACTACATATACACATACATATGCATATACTTAAACACACATACACACACTACACACACACATACATACATACATCCACCACACAACACACACACATACATACATCACACATACATATGTACATACACATGCACACACACCACACAGACATACCACACACATACTATACAAACATGCATACACACATTTACCCATACACACATACCTACACCTACATGAATACATGTACACGAACACACACACACATACTGCATAGAGAGGAACAGGAGCTTCATGAAGACAGAGGCCTAGTTTTTTCCACTGCTTTCTCTTCACTTTCTAAAAAGTGGTTCCATGTGCTGAAATAATTAATGGCCTTTCTTCCCCTGACTGCTGGGAGCCTGCAACCACACAGGCCTCTCGTGTCCTCAGCCCTGCATGCTTGGTGCTCACCAGCGCCGAACAGGAGGTTAAGGGGACACCCCTTGTTCCAACCCTGAGCCTTCACGTCTAGCACTGGCCCTGGGTGGCGTCTGCAGTGGGTGCTGTGGGTGCCATCCACACCCCTGCTTTACGACAGAGACCATGCTTTCCCTTGGGGCCACTCTGGAAGCCCCCTGGCTCCTGTGTTATACAGAGGACAGGAGAGTCCTCTGTGGCAGCCCAGCCACAGAGCCGCTTCTCTGTCACCCCTCCACCCTCAGGCCTTCGGATAAGCTCAACACACATCTCCGCTTTGCCGGCAGTGAATCTCCAGGCTGCAGCGGTGGCAGCTGGGACGGGAGCCCCTTGGAAGGAAATGCAGTGGCAGATCTCGAGTACTGGAGAGTTCAGAAAGTCACAGACCCATGGACTATGGAATCAGGTGGCTCCTGCTGAGGGCAAGATAATGAGAAGATCACCACCTAAAACAAAAGGGTGGCACATTAACCAGCCTCGTCGGTGGCACGTAAGACACTCATCTCCTGTGGCCAGAGGAGAACCCAAAAACTGGATCAGAGCCAGGACTTAACCAAAGGCAGAGCTTCGGAGAATGCCAGGTGCTCAGCCTCAAAAGGTGCTGTTTCAGAGCCGCATGCTCAGTTTCGGAAGGTGCTATTGCAGGGCCGGGTGCTCTGCCTCGGAAGGCGCTGTTCTAGGGCCTGGTGCTCAACCTGGGAAGGTGCTGTTCCAAGGTCTGGACCCTGGCTAGGAAGAAGGGAGGCCCTGAGGCTTGGGATGGGGTCATCTGAATGAACTCACTCAAAAATCTTGAATCCCAGATTCCTGTAAATCTGCTAGGCGGAAGCGGTGTCACATTTCTCCCTCTTAAGGGAAAATGCTGTTTGTGTGCTTGAAGATGCTGCAGAGACCTCTGCAACATGGCACAAACATCCCTGCCACCACCTCCAGCTCAGCTCTCCCAGGTCAGCATCACCAAGCTGGAGAAGTGCTGTGGCTGAAAATGGAGGAAGAGACACTCAGCCAAGGAGCTTCAGAACCAATAGGTACGCACCAGCATGAGCCAGGGGTAAATGTAGAACTACATCCAAAGAACGCTGGATTCAGGGGAGGCAGAATGTAGAGTTCAGTGCTGTTATTTCATTGACATGGGCGCGTTTGACCATGACACAGAGTTTAGCACATGGGAGGTGCTCTGTGCTGCAAGGATGGCCTTTTGAACTTGTGAAATAAAGCAATGTCCCACATTAAGCAGCGATTGGAAATGGAGCATCATGGTCTCATTCTCGTCTTCTTGAAATGCACAGAGAGGAAAGAAGCAGCCTAGACCACCAAGTCACCAAGCAGATGGCTGACGTCCTGGAGGGCAGCCGGGTCTGCAAGTGTCACAGACGAGAGCCGTCCTGGAGGGCGGCTGGGTCTGCAGGTGTCACAGACGTCACGGTTGGCAGCCATCCTCGAGGGCAGCTGGGTCTGCCAGTGTCTTTGTGTAAGTGATATATAAACTTCTGCTATGTAAAGCCGATAAAGTTTGGCAATCATTGACATAGCCCAAGCCTAGCTATCCTCACTAATACCAAACCTTAATTGAGTTTATATGGGATATTATTTGATTAATTACGATGTCAATCTGAGCTAATAGTAAAATAGAACCCCACGTATTTAAATGCACTCACCTGTTGAGTGGATTTGTGTAATGCCTCGATGCTAATTATTAAATTCATTCTATGAAAACGACCGTCTTTTGTCATAATAAAGTTAACTGATCTTTTACCCTAATTTGCCAAACATTCATTTGCTTTTAGAGGACACCCTGACGTAAGTGGTTAACTCGGCTTCAAATCTTTGCCCGAGTTTGAAAGGAGAGGATGCCTGGTCAGCATGATTTGGGATGGGAATTTACTGTCAAGGCCCTATTCTGACACTGCAGCTCCCACAGCAGAGCCTCCAAGGGAGCACAGACGGCCTGGAGCTGCGGTGCGTCCTGCATCTGACCCAAGGAGACCCAGCAGAGAATGCAGCAAAAGCCTCATGCTGCTCTTGATGGCAGGGATTCCATCAACAGCCACTAAGAGCTGCCCCTTTTGTGAAACAGTAGATTGAGAGACCCTACATAATAAAAAAACATTAAAAAGGCAAACCTGTGCCCTCATGTCCCCCCGCTGCGACCCCAGTATTATTTTTCCTTCAAGGTTTAATCCATATTCGCGCACAGTTTTATGCAGTGGTCGTGCGGTCGTGCATTTATCAGAATATTTGCTCTGTCGAGCGCTCATTACTTAACAAAGTTCACTGAGCACCTGGGCCATGTCCATCTGCCAGGACCTCTGGGATAACAGAGAAAGACAACGCAGCCCTGAGCTCGGGCACTCACACCCTCCGCCCGCTGGAGAGCGTCTTTCTGCAGCCTTCCCCTGCCCAGGGCTGGTTCAGGGTGGAAAGGTGAGGCAAGAAAGAGCCACAGAAGGAGCCCTCGATGCGGGTAGCAGTGGGTGTAGACGCAGTGGCAGCACTGCGAGGAGCACTGAAACCCTCCTGTCTGGCTGTGACGGCTGAGGAGAGCTGCCCACCTCTCCAAGTGGCCCATCCTAGGTACCCCAGAGCCTCACAAGCTCAGTCACCAATGTCCCAGCTTCAGGGAGGAGTGGGGCAGAGGGTGGGGCAGGAAATTCACCACCACATTGTTCAGGGCGGAGGTAGGAGGGCAGAGGGAGCCACTCAGGGCCCCCCTGCAGAAGCCATGGATGGATGCCGTGAATGCCACTCGGCCCACAAATCCCTGGTGCCTTGACTGTGACAGTGACCATGGCTTCCTTTATTATACTTAGGAGTGTGAGCCGCTGAGTAAATTGCCTTTCATTTCTTCAAATAGTTTCCTATGAACCTAACTCACCTCCCCAGATTGTCTCTGAATTTCACCATGTGTAAACTGCGGCTGGCAGCAGTGCCCGCCTGCAGGGCTGTGCCGGCGCTGAGTTGCCTGTGGTGGGTGTCCTGTGGCTGGCAGATAAGAAACAGTCCGCTGGAGGTAGCTGTTCTCAAAATGATTTTTCCCGAGAGTACAGGCAGGCATTTTTCCTCTCTGCCATCCTCCGCCACTGCACACTGTGTCGAGCCCCTGGTAGATTTGCAGATCTAACTCTTGTGCCGACACAAACCACAGCGGGGCACCGTCCCTGGGGTCCCTGGGCCAAGAATCTGTGGGAGAGCCATCCCCAGGGAGCCCCCAAAGAAGACTCAGCCTCCTCCCACCCACAAGGAAGGCTGTGGATTAGGACCATCCCGGCTCCCTCTCCTCCCTGTCCTGTGCCCCGCAGGCCTGAAGGGAGCTCGGTCCAGGGGCGGAGAGTCAGCCTGGGACCTCCTGCCCTTCACAGGCACGTTCATGCTGGGGGCCGCCTCCCTCTGCAGGAGGAAAATACCTTCAAAATGCCCGATGCATGAAAACACAAACGCTCACTGCAGATGCATTTGTGAGAGCAAAACACTGGAGGCAACCTTCAGCCGGTCCTCCAGCAGGTGAAGGCCGCGTGGAAAGCAGCAAGTGAGCAGGTGCAGCGTTGCAGGCGAGCCTCAGGGGACCTGGGCTGAGTGACAGGAGACAACCTCAAGATGACAAAGGCACAGAAACAGAAAACAGATCAGTGGTTGTCAGCGATTGGGGGTCGGGGTCGGGGAGGTGGCAGGAGGGGGCTGCGGCTGGAAAAGGAGCAGGAGAGATGCTCGTGGGATGGAAATGTCCAGCCTCTGCACAGGGATCTGCACAGGGGACACGACTGCCCAGTCCTAGACACACACTCACGTGCACACACACATAAGCATACCCACTTGCACACTCCCTCACACACACATGAAAGCACACACATGCACACACACACTCCCTCACACACATGTGCACACGCAAGCACACATGTGCACACATGTACACATACACACCCTCACACACATGCAAGCACACACTCCCTCACACATGCAAGCACACACACATGCACATGCACACACACACCCACAAGCACACACACATGCACACACACTCCCTCACATGTATTCACACACATGCACACATACACATCCTCTCACACACAAGCACATGCACATGCACACATACACTAATACACACACACGAGTGCAGGCGCAGCTGGTGCCATCCCCCCAGAGCACTGGATTCCATTGGTGACCGCTCCCTGCTTTGCCAGATGCTGCTGTCAGGGGACTGGGTGAAGGGCCCAGGCTCTCTGCATTATTCCTTACGACTGTGTGTGAGGAAGTGAACTTAGCTTCTAAATGAGTGTCAGACCCCTCAACCAGGCAGTGTGAGCAGCAGCAGTGCTGGAAGTGCTAGCTCTTGAGGACCAATCGTTATGAGTTCAGGAATTTTGCAATCATCTCAAAAGCCAACTGTTTAAAGCAAGAGGACGATGTGGTAGTGGACACCAGCACCCTGGCCCCGTCCTGCTCTCACCACAGCCCCCACCTGCCCAAGGCCTCCACTGTGGGAACTCGAACCTCCCTCACAGGAAGGGCGTGACCTCGTGTTTACCAGCCCTGCCCTGAGTGGAAATGGGTGCCTTGTTGTCATGAGAGGAAGGTTGAGGCTGGGGGAAACCTCAAGGTCTTGTGGGCACGGTGTTGTCCCCGCGGTTTGATTGCAGGAAGCCTCACAGCGGCTCCGAGATGGGTGGAGGGCAGCTGCTCGGTGCCGTGACCCTGGCTCCTGCTGCAGGCTTTCCTCTGGGCCCCTGTTCCAGAACCTTCTCCCTCTCAGGGCACTGTGTCTGCCCCTCAGGAAGCAAGCAGGCTTTTTGCAGACAGGCTCTCTCCACCCTCTGGGAGGCATGGCTGTCAGGCAGCCGGTTGGCGCCCCACTGTTCTCCAAGCCAACCAGCCCCGGAGTAAAAGGAGCCAAATGTGTCCAACCTATTGAAAGACCCACAAAAGCAAAGACACCTCAGCCCAGGGCCCAATACACACATGCAAAAATTTCATGAAACAATGTTTATCCCAACTAGACAGGCTGCATCCTGGTATTTTACATTCTGTTCTAGCTTCTTAGACTAACCTAGTGAACTTGGCTTCTGAATGAGTGTCAGACCCCCACCAGGCAGTGTGAGCAGCAGCTGTGCTGGGAAGTGCTAGCTCGTGAGGACCAATCGTTATGTGTTCAAGAATTTTGCAAGCTGGTTGTTAAACAGAGCCATGACTAAAAATTCAATTCCATAGGTTTATAGAGTTTATGAAATTACACAAACCCATGCTCTGGAATCACTGACATCTGTCACGCGGTAGACACATGTCGCACAGCACATCACAAAGCTTTGGTCAGCCAGGGGGTCCCACAGGATTGGAGCACCATGTTCTCACTGCCCCTCTCCTGTGCTAGCTGTGTTTAGATGCACACATATGCTTATATACACACATACACCACACACTACATACACACTCTGTGTTGCAGTCACCTTTGGCGTTCGGTATGGGAGCCTGCATGCAGGTCTGTGGCGTGGGAGCACTGGCTGCACCACGCAGCCTCACTGTGAGGAGGCCCGGCCACCCGGGTGTGTGCACGTCACTGTGGGCCCGCACAGTGAAATCACCTCAACAAGCCCTTCTCGGCGTGTATCCCTGTTGCAAAGTGACATGCAGGGAGTGCTGCTCTGCACCTCCTCCCATTGGGAGTGTCTCACTGAGCTCCCCCACCCCGTCTTTTCCAGTCATTCGTTAAACCTTGGCCCCCAGTTGTGACTGGCAGTTTGAGATGCCCCGTTCAAGTCAACTCCCCTCCCTGGCCCAGCCCATCTTCGTGCTTCCTGTGAAGAGGCTGAAGGGAGGCCCTGGTGGCCCCACATGTGGCTGGTGGGTACTCAAGCTGGGAGAGGTACATGCTTTAGTTCAGGGTCCAGAGCTGCCACCCCACAAGCTGCTACCTCTCGACTCTCACGCCCACCCCACAGGTAAGGACTGTCTGCGCACAGCTGGGCTTCAAGGCTTTGCAGCTGGAAACAGACACCCCGCCCGGAATGGTCCCTGAGATGTGCTCCATGAAGGGCTGGGGCAGGTTCCGGCTCCAGGCACCTGGACTCACCCACCCAGGTCCAGGACCTGAGGCACAGAGGCTGGGCTGATTCCCGGAGGCCTCGCTGTTCCCTCCCTGAGCAGCCCCCAGGGAATTTGTGGGATGTGGGGTCTTTGAGGGGCCATGTCCTTCAAAGCTTCCTATTTGCCCCTTTCAGATTGATTGAAGAAAGCTTGGGGGTCAGGAGAGAGAGGAGAATAAGGATGAGTGAGAACGTGAACCACTCTTCAAGGCTGCCTCTGAGGACAGCCTCTGATACGGGAGGCTCCTGTGTGACTGTGAGGTCACTGGGCCGACTGAGCTTCTGCCCTTAGAGCAGGGTTAACTACAATACTTCAACCCCAGCCCCAGTGGCTGTGAAAGCAGCCTCAGGGACCTGGAACGAAGTCACTCCTAGTCCCGCCTCTGCTACATCCTAGCTGCGTCTGTTCCTGTGTTCCTTTCCCGCAATCTTCTTCCCCAGCATCCTGTTTTCATGTGGTTCTCAGGCGCTAGAGGCTCCAGCCACACACCGTGCTCGCAGAAGCTGTGATTCATCCCCTCCACAGAAGAAGAAAAAGCAGTCAGGTCTCCACCAGGCACTCTTCTCTGAAAGTTGAAAATCGGGCTTTTTATTTGTTTGTTTTGTTTTTAACCTCATACAGTATCGTTTCTAAACCACAGGGAGTGAATCCAAATCTGAAGACAGAATAGACTGAACTTCGGGGTTGCTCGGGCTGCCGGTTCTCATTTCTCCCATGCCCACCCCCTCCGATTTACCATCCGTGAAAGAATTCTCAGTGTCAGCCACAGCCAGGGGCAGCCCCAGCAGCCCCTGCCTTCTGCTTTCTGTGAGGAAGGCCCTTGAGGGCAGCAGTGAAGAAACGCTCTGAATCCTCAGAACGGCTCCAGGGACCGGTGGCAGGCCTTCTGTTCGTGTGTTGGCCTGACTTCCCCTGGCCTGACCTCACACGCACATGCACAGATTACCCACATGTCCATTCAAACAAGCAACTTAATAACAAGGAACTTAAAAAAAGAAGGATGATTAGACTCAAATGAGAATCACAAGGTAGACCCCAG